GTATTGGTCTGTCGAGCCTCAAGGCCATTTTATAGCAACAGGCATGAAAATGAGTGATTGACAGGCTTGCCAGCCAAATAGTATCACACTGACAGYTCCTGTCAGAAAGAGCTGCAAGCTCATAGGCTAGCAATAGCCTTGACAGAGATACATCGATGGATTTACCAACACAGACCAATCATTGTTGAATACATACACATGGTGTTCTGTTTACATTTTTTTATTGGGTAATGTAACTAAAAGAACACCAGAACCTGCTAAACCTTCATGTAAGCACTGAAAACATATGTAATGCTAYATGTAATAGTTATTTTGATTCGGACTGAAACTGGGGAAATTAAGTGGTTAAAGTTGAAAACATTTTAGTGTTTTATAGAAATCTATATCAGGAAACCAGAGCAGCCCCAAACAAACCGGGACGTCTGGTCATTGTACTGCCGACCATCCCCCTGGAATTATTCACCTCCCTGAGTTTTAGAGGGTTTTCTTCTGACTACCCAGTCAGGATGCTGTATGGCTGAACCAAACACTGCAGTGGATTGTACAACCGTCCCAGGAGAAGAGAGGGGAGAACTGGAATAGTCTACGACAAACTTAGCTAAATAGGACATACTGTGAGAACAAACTAGTGTATTTTGATTCAGTAAGTTAGCAATGATTTTCATCTACTTGTAATTCGAAAGATAGTACAGTATGGAGGTTTCCACCTGCTAATAAAGATAATATGGCCTCTGATGGATGTACTCTAATATTTCTTACTCTTTTCCCTTTCAGTTGAAATGCCAGACTCCACTTTGAAAACCTGCATATCTTCCTTTATGTTTACAAGTCTAATCTAACTAACATTCAAGTTACTTTCAGTCGACATCCTGGAACACATCAAAATGTATTTACCATGTCCTTAATCTTCATTTTTTTCCTTTGGTCCAGAAGTGGAGCTGTAGGATAAATAAAAGTGCGATATACAAAATAACATTAGAGCAGTATAGTTTATGAAATATTTTCTTTAAACAACTCCATCAAACTTCACAATTGTGATATGTTGGAATGACACAAAAAGAGGATGTGGGAGTTCTGTGTAAGAGGGGAGGAAACATTGTACACCAGTAATATGTGCAACACCTAACTTTTAACTAACCTTGAATGAATGACACGATGCTTTATAAATAAATTGTCTGGCCTTGCCTAGTTTTAGTAATTTGCACTCAGCTGTAGACTGCTGACAGCCAAAGGTTTGTCAATGTGTCTTCTTTGTGCACCAACACCCAGGTCTGACTCATTGGTCCCTGAAGACGAAACAATGTGTTGACGCTGCCCTGCTGCATTGCAGCATGATAAAAAATATGCTTTGAGAAACAGCTCAGGTAGAGTCGTTTTCCAGTAATTCAAGGTTTTATCCCCACTTTTTTCAAGCTGCGTGTTTGTGTGTCTGAGTGAGGTACTTGTTCTGTGCAACATGTAAAACATGTGACCACATAATTATAAAGAGCATCTGTGTGTGTGTGTGTGTGTCTCTCTCTCTGTCTGTGTGTGTGTGTGTGTGTGTGTGTGTGTGTGTGTGTGTGTGTGTGCCTCGTTAACATTCAGG